ATTCTCAATCCTGTGCCTCATATATATAATAGAACCTTTTTTTTTTTTTTTTCAGCAAGATTCACGAGATGGTTATAACTTATAAAGTAACGATCCTCGTTAAGCCTCGTGATATCTTAAGCAAAGTCGATGATCAAACTTTGGTAATGATATGGTGCAGTGTCACACTTATCTTTAGTCGAATGACACGTGTAGGTAAAAACGACCCACTGCCACTTGCATTGACGCTTCACCACAAACAACTAATCCGTCTTTTAAATATTTTACCATAACAATAATTATGGTGCAAATTACGAATTGAGTGAGGTGAATTTAATATTTGAAGCTTAAATTTGGCATGCAAAGCAAAATTAACGTAAGAAAAACTAACGAACACAAGAAACATATGCAAAGAGAATTGCAATTATCAAGGTTGCGAGAGCACAAGTTAAAAAATTTGGTATATGTGTGCAAGGGCGGAACTATATGCAAATAAGCAAGACACTTACTTCCACTACCATATTATAATTTTACATATCATATATTTTTCTATTCAAATATATTTTAAAAAATAAAAATTATATTTTAATAAAATAAAAATCTTATATATTTAAATTATTATATGTATAAAATTTAAGTTTGAAAAATATATCTGTTTATTTGATATTTGTCAAATTTTTGAATCGAAAGTTTAATTTTGATATATGACGAAGAATATTCTTTAATAACGAATTAGTTTTTTAAAAAAATTTAATTATAATATATATATATACATATATATATATATTAATGCTTAACTATATAACATAATATATTAAAAAAATTGATAAAATAAAATTTGTAACATACATATTTACTTTTTGTATTTTTTATTTATTATATACGTTTATTAAAAAATAAAAATAATAAAAATTGTAAGATTTATGTTCTATTTAAAATTTTATTATAAAATATATTTTTAAATAAATTATTATCTAAAAATTTATATTAGATATTAAAAACATTTTTATATCATAAATAAATTAAATTTGATTTTTATAAGGTTTAAGATATTTTTTTTTATATTTTTGTTAGTGTTATATTATTATTAAGTAGATCTTTAGAGTTGTAATTCTAACCAAATATTAAAAAAAATATCTATAACAAATAAATAAGTCATACTTAGGGCATGTATATTTAGCGAAGGTTAAACTCAAGCCTACTAAATTATAGTATATTTTAGTATGACCTAGTTGTTGGGAAAACAATTCAAATTTTCAAATTCAAATCTCTGAGATATTATTTAGATTTTAAAAGATATTGATTCTTTTAGGATATTCTTTAGAATTGAAATATATTGTATTTATTTTAGAGATTCGTTTCCTCTTTTAAGATTGTGATATATAAGTTCAATAAATAGAGACTCTTGAGATGAGAAGAATCACCCAACCTGTAGAGGGAGTCACCGCAAATGAGAGAGGAGGTCATGTGAAGGAGGGTTTCCAAAGTTTCGCCAAAAAACTTGTGAATGATGATTTTCAAGTTTTGTTAGAAAACTTGTGAAGAAGGGATTTTCAAGTTTTATCCATAAAACTTGTGAGAAAAGGGTTTCTAAGCTTTACCCACAAAACTTGAAGGGAGAATTTTCAAGATATATGTAACACATTTTGAAATAAATAAATAATGAACATCCTTGTGGACGTAGGCATGAGGAGCTGAACCACGTTAAATAAATTTGTGTGATTTTTTCCTATTTATTTTTTATAATTTTATTTTAGTATATTTCTCATCATCATTATTATGTGTAAAAGAAAATAAGTTTTTTTTTGTTCCCAACATTCTAGTAGTAATCGTAAATATAAAAATTTATAGAAAATAATTATGATATATAGTTATACTTTTAAAAGTGATATGTAAAATTTTTAATCTACATATATATGAATAAGTATTGTTTCCATTATCTAAATTTTTTTAAATTTATGACTTATATGATCGACGAAAATCATTATATTAAGTTTAAGGATCATAGATCCATTCGTACTCAATCCAACAATTCACAACATTTTAAGTGTTAAATCTAAAAGGTTAAACAATTAAATGGCCAAACAAATCACAACCTCTCAAGCATCAATTATGAAATACGTTGAAATGATGATAATTCATATTTAAGATAAATTATTTTTTTAGTTCACAATTTTATCCAATAAAAATGGCAAAAAAATAATAATGGATAAAAATGAATATAAAATGTATTTTAGCTTGAATATTATTAATTATATAATTTATTCAATCCTATTTCAGTCATTTGTTTCTTATAAAAAGAACTTCAGGTATTATTATTTATTTTATCATCTATTTAATGTTAAGTCATGAATAATATTATAATTTTAATACTTAATGGATAAAATTTAATGGTTAGACCAAAATTATATATTTTACATAATTGAAAAACTAAGTTACAGAATTATAAATTGAATTCTTAAAATCATGAATTAAATATTATAGTGGATAAACGGAAGCGTTTAGGATTCATGTTAAAGTTCAAACAAAGAACTTTTAACTGCATAGAAACACTTAAACACATTAAGTCAGATATTTAATTAGTTCGAATTTTATAGAATTGAAAAAACTTGACGATAAGAAAAGACCTTATTAAAGAGATAAGTCAAATTTCTTGACAAACATACACACTAAAGTATATATTTAATATGAATTTGAGTTCAAATATATATTATGAATTGGGCTAGTTTCACAGGATGAAACGAATTAAGGTTCAATTTTTTTTTTTGTTAAAGAGAGATGTCCACTTATAATGTTGGATGATGTATCAATTTGAATTGTGTCTCAAGGAAGGTGCATGTGAAAGAAAAAAAAACTGATATATTAAAAACACGTAATAGCTGAAAGTTTTAAGTTATGAGACTTTTGGGATGACTTTTAAAGAAGATTGTAAGCTAGGCAAGATTTTGCTCCTCTTCGTGAATTATTGGCTAACATCTCTTTATAACCATCTATCGCATTTTCGAACATTAACCACGTTAAACGCTGGTAGTTCAAGTGTGGACTAATATCTCTTGCATGGCATCAACTTTGTGAAAAGTTTGAATATTATTATACTGAGAAAACATATATTCCACGAGATAGAAAGGTTCTACAAATAGCTTAAGAAGATAAGACCATCATTAGGAAAAAATTAATATTATATTTTGCCGCCCAGAGCCACCATCCTTTTTCGCAGTTGCATTAATTCGTTTTGGTGCCACATCTCTCCCTCTCATTGCAGAATTTAGATCTCTAGCTATTTCGATTGTTAAAATCAATTCCAAGTTGTTCAACTCTATTGCTTTTCTGCCTAAGAAAATAGTTTGGTTAATGAAAAGAAGATCCTTTCTGTCTGATGCATTCGGAGTCTATGATACGCTGATTTTTATCTTGTTCTTTTTTTATAGGAAAAAAAAATCAGCCTCAATTTGTCACCACTGGTTTCTTTTCAAACTCAATAGAGAAGATCATCACAACGACATTGGTTATTATTAAAAAAAATGACATTGGTTCAATCAGGTTTTAACTTTTAACGTAATTAAAATAATTTGATTGTTAATTTCGTTATACGACTAAATTGTAGTATATAATCGATTAGGTATCCTGGCTCACGGCAAAGCTGTCTAACAGGCAAACAACACCACCAATAATGATAATAATAAAATTCAATGCTTTTTAAAAGTTAGTCACAGTTTTAAGAATGAGTCACCCCCTTCTAATTTGAAAATCACGCTAAGTTTTCACTAATTCAAGGTTTTTTTTTTTGTTTTTTTAATTTTTTTTTAACGCATTACTGGTATCTTTCACTACAGACAATTATATTTGAGCTTAAATATTATTATAAATAATTATATTTGAGTTGCATAAGCTCTTAAGTACAAGTTTATTATCGACACTTTACACACAAGTAAAAAGTTTTTCAATGGAGTAAGTACCTGTTTTAATTTCATTTTCAAAAGGCAAAAATTTAGTTTAAAAATGTTTGCAATACTCACTTCTTATATATATATATTGAGATTTTAAGATTACATTTTATAAAAATAAATGCTAATCAATTTTTAAATATTTAATAGTTTTAAAAACGAATATTGAATAATATTTATTCTTTTAAATATTTAATAATTAAAAATTAATATTTTTTATGTCAACTTTGAGAGAAAGATAAGTGAGTTAAGAGAAAAAACAAAAACCAAAAAGGAGAAAAGATGAAATAGAAAAAGAGAAAAATATGAGAAAGAGAAGAGAAAGAAACAGGGATAGAGAGAAAAATGAAAGAGGGAGGGGGGAGGGGAGAAAAGGGAAAAAGAAAATAGAGAATAAAAGATGGAAGAGAGAAACAAAATAAAACATAAGAGATATGGGGAGAGAGAAATAAAAGATACATAGGTGAGATAAGAAAACAATATGAAAAATTTCATATTCTTATTTTTTATAATAGAATTTAAAATTTTACTATTTTAAAAAATTTCATAAATAGTTAAATTTTAAATTCTTTAAAAATTCTTTCTCCATACAAACACGCTTTAGAGATTTTAAATAGTTTCCCCTCTTTTTATTATATTTATGATTTCATAAAGTTTGTACATAAATACGGGAGAAACTATTTTTTAATTTATAATTATAATATTAGTACAAATTTTTATTGTGGGAAATAAAAAACTAAATATACAGATATTGGTGCATGGTTTAGTTGAAACAAAATAATGAAACATATCGGGGTCCACCGAAAAGATTAGAAGAATTGCTCCACCCCAAAGATTAAAAGAGTTGCTTTTAGTAGAGAAGAATTATGTTATGAATTTTTTATTAGAACGCACATTTATGTCTAAACTCCAAGCATACTTGGACAGAATTACATGGTACAATACATAAATACATGTGAAAAAAGGTTAAAGGTTAAGGTGAAATGTATTTTGATGGTAATAAATAAAGTTTATACCGGTAAAGGAAGTGAAAAAAGAATAGGAGCAGCATTGTGTTACATAAGTAGAAACAAAACACATTTGTTGTTTAATAATGAAGTGTGGTTTCCACCAAATTCATGGCGAATGAGTTTGAGGAGAATAAATTACAGTAGCCTAAGCTGAGGAGAAAAGCACGCCTTGGGAATTTGTTAGGTAACGTCGATTCAGCGGAGAAAACAATCATCAACGACGACAGAAGAGCTTTCACAATTCCAAGGAAACGAAAAAGGGCAAAAGAGAAAACAAAAGAAAAACCGGTTTCGTGTTCTGTAACTGAAACGGAAGCAGCCGCATATATTATTATCCGTGGCAGTTCAGTTCAGGATCGTTACAAAAGACTGAAGCGAAAATAAGGAACTTTGTTACTTGTCATCATTACTCTATAACTCTTCTCTCTCTCTCTCTCTATATTCATGGGGTAATCTAATCTACTGTCACTCTGCACCTCCTTTCTCTTATTCTCTCTGTTTCGTTCTCTACTACGACGTCGTTGAATGGCACTTCCTCAGCCAGAAACAGGTCAATGGCTTATGCTTTGCTTGCTTGCAATTTTGTCGAGATTCTTCTGCTCTGCTTCAGTACTCGGAAAGTTCAACAAAGCTTGCGTTTTTTTTTTTTTTTTTTCTTAATGTTTGTAGCAGTTTTTGAGGTTTAGAGGAACATGGGTCTGCGGCGTTTTGGTTGAATTGTTGTGAGAGTGAAAGAGAAATGTTGTTTAGTTTCCGAGGAAGCAGGCAGAGCGTTGGGTTTGATGTTGGTGAAAAACGAGGATCTTTCTTAATTGTGTTGATTTTGTGTTTGGTTAGGTGTGGGAGGTGGCGATCTGTACAGGCAACTGTGGAAGCTATGTGCGGGGCCTCTGGTGGATGTTCCTCGCGAGGGAGAGAGAGTTTTATACTTCCCGCAGGGTCACATGGAACAAGTGTGTTTCCTTTTTTGGCTATTTTTTGTGTTTGCTTTTCGAATTTATCAGAGTTTTGGTTTTGCAGTTGCAAGCGTCCACTAATCAGGGACTCAACCAGGAACTGAGCCAGCAAATTCCCCATTTCAATCTCCCACCCAAGATTCTCTGCCGCGTTATTCACTGTCAGTTGTTGGTAATGTTTTTCCTTCCTTTCCTTGTTCACTTCCTCTGCTAATGCCTATCCTCTTCTTATTTATTGTAATTTCTGTGCATAAAAAAACATTTATTGACATAAAGTTGCTTCTTAATTACCTCCCTATATTTATTTGTCATAAAGTTTTGGGTTATTTTTTGTAGGCGGAACAAGAAACGGATGAAGTTTATGCTCGTATCACCTTGCTCCCCGATTCTGTTGTGAGATTATACATTTTTCCCATACTTTTTTTTTTTTTTTTTTTTTTTTTTTTTCTGTTTTGTGTGAGTAGGTTCTTCAGAATGATATTGATTTGCTGAACCCTCCAGCTGAGTTGGAGAAGAGAAAGCACAAGCTTAAGCGTCTTGTTCAGTCTCCAAATTCTTTTTTTTTTTTTTTTTTTTTGCTTCAGTCTTGTGGATTCCGTTTCGTGACTCCATGTGGAAAATAGTTTTTGTGATTGAAAATTGAGACTGAGAGTGGTTTTATTCAGCAAGGTGAGCCGATGGATCGTGACCCAATACCACCCGAGACCCAAAAACAGACGTTTCACTCTTTTAGTAAGATATTAACTGCTTCGGATACTAGCACACATGGGGGATTTTCAGTTCTGCGGAGACATGCTACCGAATGTCTGCCTCAATTGGTATTTACTATTTAGCTTTCTGAGATTCCTTTAGCCAAGGCTGACTCTACATATTTAATGAAATTTTCCTCATTTTAATGCTTGCTATTTTTTTGGTTTGTTGTAGGACATGTCCCAAACTACCCCCACCCAGGAATTGGTAGCAAAGGATCTTCATGGGTTTGAGTGGAAGTTTAAGCATATATTCAGAGGTAATTTTGTTTTAATATTCCTAGTAGTATTCTTTGAGGATTTATGTTATAGTTGCATGTTCTAATTCTTAAGTGAATGAATATCATAATTAGTATTAGTATGGAGTTCAGTGAGTAATATTAGGGAACATGATTGTACATCTTTTATTTTGCTGGTGGCCAATTGGCTTCTCTTTTTGTGTAAATATGATCAGGTCAACCGAGGAGGCACTTGCTTACAACTGGGTGGAGTACATTTGTCACATCCAAAAGACTGGTTGCAGGAGATGCTTTTGTGTTTTTAAGGTGTTTAATCTTCTGTTCTTTGTGTTAATATTTTTGCTGTCGGTTCTCTTGTGGTCTTACTCTTATGCACTTTGGTGTTGACATGGTTGTTGCAGGGGAGAGAATGGCGAACTGAGAGTTGGTGTTAGGCGTGTGGCGCAGCCTCAGAGTTCCATGCCTTCGTCTGTGATATCAAGCCAGAGCATGCATCTTGGAGTGCTTGCCACTGCCTCTCATGCAGTTTTGACAAGAACCATGTTTGTGGTTTATTACAAACCTAGGTTTGTAAGCATCTTGACATTTGTTTTTTAAGTGTCACGAGCTTAAAATTAAAATGTAACAGAATGTGTAGCCTTTGATCAACATGATGTCTTTTGATACATCCAGGACTAGCCAGTTTATTATTGGTGTAAACAAATATCTGGATGGAATCAACCGTAATGTTTCAGTTGGCATGCGTTTTAAGATGAGATTTGAGGTGGAGGACTCACCTGAGAGAAGGTATCCATTGTTGAAAACATTTATCATAGTCACTGAGTGTCACCTGGCGTTCTAGTTGGTCATTTATTGTCACATTGCTTTAATTTTTTGGTCAGATTTTCTGGTACTATTGTTGGGGTCGGAGATGTATCTCCAGGATGGCCAAACTCTCGGTGGCGTTCATTGAAGGTTGTACTTAGACCTAAATTTTTCTATCTAAATTCTTATTCTGTGTGAATTTTTGCATTTAAAGTCTTTTGTCACTTAGGTTCAATGGGATGAACCAGCAACAATTCCAAGGCCAGAGAGGGTTTCTCCATGGGAGATAGAGCCTTTTGTTCCTTCCACAGCTTTGAATGTCGCTCAACAAGTGCCGAAGAGCAAAAGGTCCAGGCCTGCTGAGGCTTCATCTTCTGGTAAGATATATTTTACCAAAGTTTTCTTGGTTAGGCCTTTTTTGGGTAAACTCATTGTAGAAGAATAAAATAACAAGTCACATAAGTTAGTTAAATTCAGCTTTTGAAGTTGTTAAATGAGTACAATAAGTTGAATTTAAGCTTGGAAAGAAACTTAATTTATTTGCTTCTGTAAGTGTTTCCTGAGAAATTTATCCAACCAAGTTTTTAGTTGTTTATCAGCTAAATAGGCATTGACTTGAGCCATGTGATGGTTTGGATGTAGAAATAGGTCCTAGTTCCCCTGCTCCAGCATTCTGGTATCATGGACCACAACCACATGACCCTACACCATTAGGTGGCACTGCAGAGGTCCAAAGCAATGAAAGCGCAGTTGTAAGGTCTTTGAGGCTGAAAGAAATTAATGGCAATCCCATGAATGGGAAAAACAACAGCTCCAAAGTCCCTGTGGAAGGAATGTGGCCTTCTTCCCCACATTTGAATGTTGTCTCTTCAAACTTTTTGGCCGACGCGAAAGCTGTTGCAGCACAATCACCTATCTCTGGTTATGCTCCTGTGAATGATGATTCGGCACCTGATCCCACAGAATGTGGTAAAAGGAGTGAGAATCCCATGGATTGCTGGTTATTTGGAGTTAATTTGACCAACAATTTTACTAATCCTGCCCTGCCGGATAAAGAACTAGGATGTCCAACAAGTGGTCCCAAAGATTCTGTTCCTGTTGCTCCATGTGAAACTGATGCTCCTCACAATTCCAATAAGGAGCACAAACAAATTATATCTGATGAGAGGCACACCAAACAGGCCAATGTACCCTCCACGAGGACTCGGACCAAGGTACCTACATTTTCACCCTAAGTCTAATATTATAAAGATTCCTTTTCATATTTTTTTCTAAGAAAGTAAAAGTAGATGAGTGGTAGGGTAGGAATATTGAATGTAACATTCTCTTTTGAACTTTTAGTCTATGGTTGTGTTGCTTTTGCATAATTTTTATCACATGTTGATGAGTGAGCTAGTGTTGTTGTTTGAGAAGGTGCAAATGCAAGGTGTTGCTGTTGGTCGTGCTGTTGACCTTACCGTGTTAAAAGACTATGATGATTTGGTTGATGAGCTTGAGAAAGTGTTTGACATCAAGGGAGAGCTTCGAGTGCAAACCAAATGGGCAATTACTTTCACCGATGATGAAAATGATACCATGCTCGTTGGTGATGATCCCTGGCCGTGAGTCATTTTACCACTCCTAGTCCTAGCAGCACCTTCAATTTTGTTTGTTTCATAAAATAAAATTAGACTTTAATTGTATTCTTCCTTCATTGCAGGGAGTTTTGCACCATGGTGAAGAAGATTTTTATTTGTGCAAAGGAAGATGTGAAGAAGATGAAAAACAAGCATTGTGCTTCTTCATCAGAGGGTGAAGAGACTCTGTTGAGCCAACATTCACATAATAGGGACGAGACTCAGCAAAACTCTTGCGATTTGACAGCGTAACTTTTTTAGTTTTTTTTTTTTTTGGTTTGGGAGGGTTTATTTAGGGTGCTTTGGTGATTTGGATTTGCTTAATTTTATGCCAACTTTAAAATTTAAAATGGTAGAGTAGTAGTGGATGTGTGAAAATGGATTAATATAATATCAAACTACAGGAACTTAAGTTGGATTTTAGGTACTTAATTTATATTAATTTGTGAATACCCTTTTTCCCCTCTCAAGTTATTTGCCTTTGACGGTTAGGCGTATTCTGCTTCAATGAATATGTTCTTGTTGGGAAGTGATATTACCAACGGCAAACGCACCAATTGAACGAAAATTACGTGCTTACAATTTGGTTGTCTATATATTCAAACCACCACTAATATTTTATGTTAATTTTTTTAGATTATTGTTTTCAATACTGAAATGTTATTTAATAAATTAATAACATTACTCATTCTTTTGTTACCATATTTTTTGGCATATCATTTAAATGTTTCCGTGTTTGGTAATGACCCAACACAATTCCTTTTTTGAGGAAAGTTGGTGTATACATTTTTACCATTTATGATCACGAATTTGTATATTTACACTTTGCTTGACAGTAGCGTGTGAATAAAATTATGTGATATTTTTAATATGAGTTAATCACTTATACATTGTTAGTGAAAAGTTTTTTATACTGATAATTAATTATATCTTTTAATTATACCATGTCACTGTTAAAAGTAAATGTGTTTATAATGACATGATATAATTAAAAGATATAATTAATTATCAGTGTAAAATTTTTTTACACTAATAGTGTATAGATGATTATCTCTTTGAATATTGAGGCTTTCCTCCACAATTACTTAATTTTCTACTTCTTTCAAAAACTATCTACATGGATAATGGATTACAATTTTCTTCTTTGCGGTGTTTAACTGAGTCATTCTAACATCAATAGAAGGACCGTTTGGTTTATGTTTCTAAAATTTGTAATTTTGTCATTTTTTTAAGTTTAAAAGCGTGCATTTAAAAAACTCATACAATTGTTTTAATTTTTGAATATATTTTCAATTGTATAAAGTTTTATTTTCAATTTTAAGTTTTTAACGATAGAGAATAGTGTTTCGACTAGTTCAAACTTTAATGCATAATTTTTTATTGCAATAAGATTGTCTTTCCTGATGAATACTTATAATTTGAATAAATTAAAAAACGCTTATCATTTGAGTTTTTTTTTTATTTTTGAAACGTTTGAGTGATTATTGTCTGTAAATAAATTATAGCACATTGAATGATGCATTGCGAAGAATTTATTCCATGTGCAGAACGTCACTTTTGCTGATGTTACACATTTATAGACTGGCCATAGAAATCTTTTTGCAAATATAGAATTATGTTTCTTGCATTGTCTACCTTGTAAGTTGTCCAAAAATTAAGGTTGCTTCCAACAAGATCCTCAAATTTTGCCATAAACCGAAGGAAAGATTGTTTTTAAAATGGAAAAAAAAAATGGCAAAGTCAAAGGAAGTATGCTGTTTCAAGTGCAATAATCAGACAACCACTGTCTCTGCCTCTGGATGCATCTCCTTTGGGTTTCACCTTTCAAAATTGGGTCTCAGAGACCACTTTGCTTCTTTTTTTTCTTTTTTCTTTTTTTCTATCTATTATCTCTCTTATTATGTTTCAAAATGCTCTTTTATATTATTTTTCATTCTTTGTTTTTTACTGGTTTAGTCAAACTTAGAAGGGGTGTTTTATTGATCACCCAAATTTGTGTAACTTTCTATCGTTGCTATGGTTTAAATGTTTTTTTTTTTATAAATGTAATGATAATGGGATATTCACAAAATTTTATAATTTTCAATAAATTTTAATCAAAGTATTTTTCTAATATATAGCAAAAAAAATCTTTAGTTTATAATATTAATACATATTATTAATGTGTCAAATATAATGCATCATATTAATACTACACTATCAGTATATAAAATTTGTTAACATTTTATATTTTTTAGATAGAGATAATTTAACGAAAATTTATAACCTCAAGGTTTGATAACTTTTATTTATTGATAAATGATAATTTTTTAAACATAAGTACTTACATTACAAAATATAATTTTATGAAAGATCTTTCAGCGTCTTACTGGTGTATTAATTCATATGAAATGAATTATCAGATTTATTGGGGTTTTATTTATGAAAAAAATAGCTTAGTGTTGTCCTTATTGAAAGTGGAAGCAGTGTCCAACATATATTTATGAAGAAGATAATGAAAATTCAATGCATATTAAGTTGGTCAAAACAAGAGAATCTAAGTGGGACCTTGTATGATTTCCCAATAAGTGTAGTGCTAAATATAGGAGATCTGAACTGAATCAAAAAGTAAAACAAGTAATCGATGCAGATATCAAGTGAGTTTTCCGTGCGTCACCAAATCACCATTCACCAATACCATGCACTTTTGTTTAATTTGTTGCCATGGCATGATATAATCTCTTTTCAAACATACTGCCTTCATTAACTTGTTCTAATAAATTAATCTTTTCGCAACTTTCTTTTATAATTGTTCCATCTTCCTTTAATGTATTTATTTTTCAACCACAGAATGTTACAATTATGTTATATTATTTTATGTTCAGTCACTTCACTTTCTAAAATTTTTACATTGTTTAGTTAAAATAAATAAATAATGTAAAACAACTAAACAAGGCAAAATTCATAATTCATAATTTAGTTTATAAAAAATAAGATAAATATCTTCCATTTGATATATATAGTGTACCAAATTTTAAAATTAAAGTTAATATAAAAAATAGTATTTAAAAAAATAATAAAAATATATAATAAAAAAAAACGCATTATACAGAAAAGAATTCCAAGATTCAATAATAATGATAATTCTTAAAAATGCTCTTATCTAAAAAGGAATATTAAATTATAATATATATACGGGCAGATAATGTAGAAAATCAGCTCAATTTTCTCATCATTGGTGAAGATATGACAACAAAATTACAAAAAAATTATAAATGAAATTTTAATCCTAACTTAAAATCTCAACATCAGTTAAAAGAAATGCTTTTACAAGTGTTACAAAATATTGTGTAGGGTGTATATTTTGTTAGGAATGCGAGGTTATGATTCCAATTTAGATGCTATCGTGCTGAAAAATAACGATGTTATCGTGTTAATCAAGAGAAAAACTATATAAAAAAAAATGAAATTCTCACAAATAATAGTAGGTTTTATTGTAATGTTTTCAATCTTTTTCTGATAGGATGGCAAAACTATATATCTCAATAAAATTGGTCTTCGGCTGAAAGTAGTACGAGTCTATGGTTTGAGGCTTTATGCCAAGCCCACTTCAGCCCACTGGACGAGCTGACGGTTTTGTTTCTAAATTTGGGCCTTGTATAAGGCCTTTTACTTTAGGCAGATGATAAACACACCTCCACTCTCGTATAAGCACACCTCCTTTTTTAAAATATATATATAAAATGTCTAAATTACCCTTAAAAAAAAAAAAATTCCTAAATTTATACTCCCTTTCTCCACACCTCCGGTACCCCGCATCTCACACCCCCCTTCCCCGCACTCCAAATTCACAGAAACCTCTTCCTTGATCAAATTCACAGCCACAACACCAATTTTGACACTCTCACTGGCCACAAATTGGACGTAGGGGAACAATAGGAATCCAAACGCCGTGATGATCGCCACGAAAATCACAACGTCGGCCACCACTGATCGGGATCGCCGGCACGGCGGAGCCTGGAGGGAATTGGGGGTTTTCCGGTGCCTCGATTTCGAGCCGCCATGGGTTGGTCAACGGAGGAGTTGCAGAGAGAGATTGAGCTATGGAAATAGACCATTTCAATCACAAACCCAGAAACCCCCAAATTGAATCAATCCCAGATCAGAAACCATGTATATAACAACAACGATTAAAAAAAAATGGGGGGTGCGAGGATTGAAATGGGTTTGGGTTCGAAGGAAAGGCCTTCGCATTCCTAATCCGGTAGGGGGCCGGACGGCTTTGTTTGCCCCAGCTTGGCTAATCGCATCCCCGCGCAACGATATTCTGCGCCCCTTACCGTTCTCGCTCAGTCTTCAGAGACTAGCGGAATCCTTCTGTTACCGGATTTCGGGACCAGACAGCTTTATTACCGGCTCGGCAGATATCAATGCTCCTGATGTCTGGATTGCTTGCTAATGCCCGGAAGAGAGAAGAAAGATCGTATTTTAGAAAACTAAGACTAGAAATTCTGCATCCACTTTCCGGGAAAGCATTATGGTGGGGTGTGGGATGTGGGAAAGAAGGGTGCGGGGAAGGGGGTGTAAATTTAGAAATTTAATTTTTTTAAAAGATAATTTAGACATTTTATATATATTTTTTAAAAAAGGGAGTGTGCTTATACGAGGGTGGAGGTGTGTTTATCATCTACCTTTACTTTATGCCTTCTTCGGCTGATGGTGGCAAAGCAAGGAATACTTACAGAATGGATGAGTAATTGGTTAGTTCCATTTTTTTCTTCTTTTTTTTCAGGATTTTATTTTTCTGATTAGGATTTATTAGCAGCACTGTAAATAATCAGTAAATTATTTGATGAATAAACGATGCGTTAGGTTGGTTCTTGCGTGGACTCAACTCTAATTCAGCAAGATTCTTTTACACCTTTTGGCCTAATTAATAAAATCAATTTGAAATTCTCGCAAGTTAAGTAAATCAAATCGTGATTTTATGTCGAGTTATCGGCTTTGACCTTTTTGAACCCTATTTCGAGTTACTTCGAATTGAGTTTGTATTGAAAATGAATGAAATTGGGTGTTTATTACATTGTATTAAGTAAAGCCTTTGTAATTATCTATTTATTTATTTTAATAAAAAGCACGTTGCATTTGTTGAATTTTCTTAAAAAATTGTGTATAACACTCGTTGTACATGTATAGCCCGTTGGAACAGGGGATAGAAAGTGGGAAGGAGAGTAAGCTTTTAAAATAAAAATAGAAAGAAAATGAAAGAAAAGAGAAAATATACTTTTTATTTATGTAAAATCATTTTTTTTTTTAATGAATTGACATGTATTTACCATAGGTAATAAATTGAACAGAAATCCAAGTAATTAGATTCACAGGTACTCAAGTTATAATTGTTTAGTAAAAATTTGGTACTAAACAGAGAATTTAATAAAAAAATTAGTGTTATTCAACAAGAAATATTAAAATTTATGAAAAAAAATATATATTGTGGAGTTTGAATTTATAATAAGTATGAAGAGAGATTGATTCACTAATTTTTCCAAACAAATCTTCTTAAATTTTCATTAATATTTAAAATTATACAAATAATTTAACAGCTCGTAGTAATATTTAAGGAAAATTTTAATTCTTTGACAATTTTTTTATTAAAAATCTGTATTAAAGTTAGGGACTAAAAGTCGAGTAATAAGATTTACTTTATTCTTAGCAATGAATGTTATATAGGTTGTCATTTTTATAAAAGATTTTCTAACCTCAATTAAAAATTATAAAATCGTGTATAGATTGATCAAACTACAACAAGCATTAAACATAAAATAGGTAAAAATGATTAATTGGATTAAAGACATTCATTGAATGGAAAACAGAAAAATTAAATAGGTGGAAAACAGAAAAATTAAATAGGTACAGTAATTACTTCAATCTCTAATAATAGAGACTTAATCACTCATAACTAAGGATTAATAAAAATATTTAACGAGTATTTTAGAGATTACAGATATAAAATAGTTTAAAAAATATTGTCTTTATTTGTAGTGGTATTAGTGAATGAATCTGCCAGTGTCGGTGCTGGGTCCTAATCTCCTTAAAGCTAACCAAAACAAATAAACGTAAAATCCTAAGTTGATTGAATTTGTTTTGTCTTTTATAGACACAATTTTTTTTTTTTTAACAAAATGGTAAATCAACAGTGCTGCAGCAGTTAGTTAAGAAAGGTGCTTTCCCATAAATAACACGGCTTTTATGTTTGAAAAAAAAAATTATTTATTTTATAAATAAATTTATTTAAACTTATTTTATTCAATAATTTATATTTTATATTAAATTTTAATAATTTAATTATTAAATTTAAAATTTTTAATGTATAAATTAAATTTGTAAATTTTTAAAAAATTTAAAAATTACTTGATATTTCATTTCATTAATTTAAATTAATGTATAAAATAATTTTATGATTATTCATTAATTTAAATTAATGAAATAAAATATTAAATAATTTTTAAATAATGTATTTGATTTTTAGATATAAAAAATTATAACTCTTTATTTTATTTATTAAAAATAGAAATATATAATTAAATTTAAAGAAATTCCACACAACTCTAATGCTTAACCTAAAGTTTGAATCACTACCCAATTAGCTAGAGGAAGGAAAATAAGAACTTAGGGAAGTTGGAAGAGAAATGTTTCTCCATATTTTTTAAGTCATTCTCTCTAAGTTTATTTAAGAAACCTATGAAACTCAATTTAAAAAAAAAAAGTTATATATTTTTCCTTTAAAAATTGTCATATACTCAAAGATATTCTTAAGTGATCAAAACTCTTTAGGAATTTATCAAATCTAGAGTTCCTTAACAATTAAACAACAATATACTACCACATATAAATAAACAATTATTAATAAAAATATACGGTATTATACTATATTAAATTTTAATATATTAAACTTAAATGAATAAATTAAAGTTTTATATTAAATAGATTAAGTTTATAGCTGTTTATAAAATTTGAAAAATTAATTGATATTTTATCAAATAAATTGACATAATATATTTTTTCTTATAATATAAGTAAATATTAATTATAAATATTTGATTTATATAAA